GTACAGATTGCGTGTAATAAACTAATCACATACTAATTAAATATTGCACAGGTTGCATATTCTATACTGGATTTATTACTATTACAAGATTTTCCATTACCTTGTTTTTACTAGATTTATTATAGTTAATATCATTATGTAAAACACTGAGCTGTGAACAGTATTTGTGTTTATTTTGGATTCCTATTATGACACCAAAGAGATATGAATTTAGTGGTTATATGTCTACAGAAATAGTGTTTTATGCCCTGAGAACAGAGATGAGCTAGCTAAGATAACAAATGACAACGGAGAAGCATGTTCCTGCATCCCCCAATTGCAATCTCAAAAAACATGCAAATATGATTGTTATCATAATTCTATTTTTTACCCTTGACCTTTGAATGGTATACAATGAAAAGGTCTCTTCCCAATATTTACATATCACATATTGCAGAATGACAATGCACCGTGAATGCTTAGCCAGATTGCAAGAGCAAGAATTCAATTTAGAGTCTCAGTTTATATCAATGCGCCATAGTCATCTTCACAGCTGCTACATTTTGTACATGCTTGATTCATTGCTAATAAAGGGCTTGACATGGCTATTTTATCTACATTGTATATCTATTGCATAAATGTGTTCAGAAATACATAAATAATATACTGTCTAAGTTTGTGCCCTTAGTATAAAAGACAAATATATGTACCTAGTGCATCTGTTTACATATGACAATGAATATATGAATAAAATACACCCTCCCACCAGCAGACCCTTGCACAATGTTTTGTTTTGAAAGTGAGGCTGCTGACCTCTGGATTAGAAAATTTCATAATTGTCACAAAAATAGACTACTTTCTGTTAAGATATTAACCTTTCAGATTCCCATACATGTGTAACTCTCACTAAATGAATACTGTCATTATGCAAAATAATCTGCATTCATTGACTAAGTAGTGATTCTTTCAAATATATTAATGTATTATGGACTGAAGGAATAACAGCATATACAAACTATTTTGCTATAATTGCCAAGAAGTAACCTGTTCTTACCAGAGTTCCATCTGCTGATTCTATAAGAGGCTTCAGTTCCTCCAGATCTTCCTCCGCCTTCAAAATAAACATTATTATCACATTAAAAAAATTATTCAAAAAATATACCAGTATTATTTGTGTGCATCAATAAGGCGTACATTGTTAAACAGCTGTAGTTTACAATAGATTTTGATAATAAATGACATGCGCAATATTTAAATATTTTTGAATTACAATGTTTTTAGATAAAAAATTTTTTTTAAATTATCAAACCGGTATTTACCTTGTCCCACTCGCCGTCCATGACGTGAGATCGGAATTTCGCCGCTGACGGATGTTCCAGGCGACAACCGGACTCTGCCATGAGTTGATCAACTGTCCGGCTATAAATGAAAGAGAATAAACATTCAGAAATAATTTGTCTTTTACCTCTCCGAGATAAAAACAGAGACATATAGCACTGGCAAAATACTTCAAGATGGCGACGGTAGATCAACATTTAAACTCACTTGAGACCTAGCATCCTTAGATGCTGCCCTATAAGTCTGACGATTTCCTTGTCATTTTGACTGACTATTTTGACGTTTGGACTAATAGTAGTATCTTGATCTGCGGCATCAGTGGCGGCGATTTCGCCATTACTTGCCGTGGCTCCGTTTGTAAAGTCATTGGTGTCTCCATTGTGCTGAGCGGACGGGGAGCCATTGGCAGAGTGCATGGCGGCGACCAGACGTTGTTTTTTCGGCGGTGGCGGAGACAACCCACCGTTATCTGAATCCGAGGAGGAGGCCAGTATGTCTTCAAAACAACCGTTGATATAATCGCTTCTATATGAACAATATACAACAACGAAAATGGTATAAAATATTAGCGTTTTACGCAGCCGACCAAACAACAACAACAACGCAGAATGAAAATCTATTTCGGCTTTATGTTGTTGAGTGACGTCACTGAAACCTACAGCTGACTGGAGCACTGTGGGAAATTCCAACACAGACATTTTCACGAAAAACTGAAGAATTGTGTAGTTTTGTGCGTTTTTAGGTCAACTCACGGTTTGTGTAACATCCTGGAGGGAAAAAATTTGACTGCGCACGAAAGAGTATGGAGTCTTTAACGATGGTTCAACTCATGGAATACACCTGTACCTCGACCTGCAGTGCACACACGTAAGGCGATCGACGCATCCGTCTGAAAATCGAAATCAGATGGACTGAGACAGCAACAGTTACCACTTAATTATTTTGAATTTATTGAAATCAAGGATTTCGTTATCGATTTGAATTATAGTCCGGATTACCTAAATTATATCTGTTAATTTGCAAGCCTTCTCACCCCGAGGAACGTCCCATGTGTTATAAATTGAAGTTTATTATGCCATGACACTGTGACGCACGTGAACAACTAACGTTTTATATTATCATAATAGTAGTGACAATCAACTATTGTTATTATTTTTTATTAGCTTTTAAAAAGTGTTTGTTCTACGTTTTCTTTCATGTAATTCAAGTTTCTACATGTACTTGTAATTGACAAGTTGGTCGGTCGGGACACGTAACGATCGGTTTATCGACCAATATTTGGTAATAATAATAACTTTATTGTCAACCT